GGGATCGTCCAATCGTACCAAAACATTATCGACGCAACGTCTTCAATACGTTGCACAATCTTTCTCATCCAGGTGCTCGTGCAACAGTCAAACTTATAGCCGAACGCTTTTTGTTGGCCTGGCATGAATAAAGACGTGAGGGAGTGGGCACGCTCCTGTGTAAGCTGTCAGAAATCTAAGGTCATAATACACAATAAATGTCCCTTAGGTTCTTTCAAAACCCCTGACGCTCGTTTCGACCACGTCCATCTAGATTTGGTAGGACCCTTACCCGACTTAAACGGATACTTATATCTCCTAACATGCGTAGACCGTTTTACTCGATGGCCAGAAGCAGTACCGATTAAGGACATTACTGCTGAAACCGTGGCCCGCGCTTTCGTCGAACGATGGGTAGCAAATTTCGGCTGCCCCTCAACCATCACTACAGACCGCGGACGCCAGTTCGAATCTGGACTTTTCCGTTGTCTAACCACACTTTTAGGAATCACGCGCTTCCGAACGACCGCCTACCACCCACAAGCAAACGGGTTGGTAGAACGTTTTCATCGACAACTAAAAGCTTCATTATCAGCTTCAAACGTTTCACAGTGGACAGACGCTCTTCCACTCGTCTTGCTAGGTATCCGCAATGCAGTGGAAGCTGACATTGGATACACGGCACCTCAACTCGTTTACGGAACGACACTCCGACTCCCAGGAGAATTCGTGGATCCTTCAGCTTCTCCATTGAACATGGATCTAAACTCTTACACGAGTAGGCGTTCAGTTAAACCTGCTCACACTTGACCTCAATCAACTGATGTTTTCGTTCAACCCGAATTACGACATAGTACACACGTCTTCGTTCGTCGAGACTCACATCGACGACCCCTCGAATCAGCATACGAAGGACCCTTCAAAGTTCTTCAACGCGAACCTAAGTACTATGTAGTGGATGAGAACGGTACGAACGATAGCATCAGTATCGATCTACTAAAAGCAGCGTACTTAGAAGGAAATCCTAGCTAAGTCGATTTTCTCTCGGTACAAGCAAACGACACAAATACTACACTCGTAGTACCCTACACGACAACCGACACACAACCTGATACTTCGTCAACATCGATAGATAAACCTAAAACAACGCGTTCTGGAAGACGAGTAAGATTTCCAGAACATCTTAACGAATATTGCACGTAGGACATAAGCTTTATCTTGAATTACCCTTCCATAGTTTATTATTAAAAAAATTTTTTAATATGATAATTTTTTATTTATATATAAAAAAACCCACTTTTTTCCGATCGCTTTTACGATGTTTCTAAGTGTATTAGTTTACTTTTTTCCGCTCATCTTGTGTCCTTACGCAAGCACGAGTATATTTTCGACATGCACTCACACGTTCTTTTCCAGAACGGCTGGAAAAGAACTACGAAGTTTGCAAGGAACCGAAATTTTCATTGTACTTTATTTCCTTATTGCTATGTTGTACGTCATGGTCCCATAGTTTAAGGAAAGACGACCAGACGCTGCTGAACGAAGAAAGCTATCAGAAGAGTGTTTACCAACGACAAACTCGATGGGTTTAAACTTCTGGCTGGTCACGTCTTAGAGGCATCACTACCTCACTAGGGGGGCGGAGTGATCTGTAGCTGCAAATAATTCCCCAAAATCAATAGCTCATTAAGTGTTCGTCATTGGATGCTGACCACGTTGTTTAAGTGGACTTGTTTAACTGAAGGCTTTCGGTCATGCATCCGTACCAGATCACGTTGCAACACGGCGTGGGACACAGCTCCTACGTTCATTAGCCAGCTTATAGTAAAGGTTCCTCGATATATTGGTAACGTATCAAATATATCTTTTCTACCTCTCCTCGTCTGACTTCTGGTTTCTATGCGACTGGGAAAGAACGGTTATAGAAGATACTACTGGTTGCTAGTTGCTAAACTAGAATATCCGTGGTATCCTCAAACGTGTTTCGTTCTCCATTGGAAGTGGATATCTGTTCGACGACAAAACTCTGTGCAACTAACTTTGCAAACACCAATCATCTCATACGTGACTACACTTTGTAAAAAACCTAAAAATAGTGTGATCCCACGCTATTAAATAGGAAAGTCACTAATTTGTATACTAGAGCATGTCGAAACAATGTCTTTTTGAAAAAAGTATTTTCTAACTATGAAAAGTAGTCCATCTGCAACATGTTGCAGACTACAGTCACAACTTAGAAAACTCCTTTCTAGAAGTATCCGAAGTCGAAAAAGATTTAGGAGTGATGGCAACCCACGGCTTGAAGTCGTACGCTAACTGTGACAAAAACGCATTTCAAGCAAACCTTGAACTGACAACATTGAGGCACATTTTTGGCCAGTGTGACGGTAGAACTTCCCACATATGAATGTATGTTGCAACGCTGCCCTAATAAAGTGCGCCAAATGTGGTATTGACATGTTTCTTACGAAATCCATTTACATTCATATCTTATAAAATATCAACCCAGCTGAGTAATTTTCTACAGTGAAAGTTGTAATTTCTGTAACAATTTGGTCTTGCCTGTAAACCGGCATGCCTCATGTAACAAACTGTTATTTGAGAATAAATTATTATTATTATTTTCAACAGTTTTATTCATCCCCATTTAGAGTACGGAAACATAGTATTTCCTCCCTCTCTCCAAAAGGATAAAGAAACTGTGGAGCGTATCCAACGTCGAGCCACGAAATCACTTCGGGGGCGCAAATTCAAACCTTATGAGGAGCGCCTCCGATCACTTAACCTTTACCCGCCAGAGTACAGGCGCCTTAGAGGTGACCTTCTTTATGACTTACGGTATCCTTAACACTTCTGATCATCCCCTTAAACATGTACTTAAGCCTAGTCACAACACTAACCTAAGGGGTGACACCCAGAAACTGGAGACCCAACATAGCAGCACAGACTATAGACACAACTTCTACTCCGTAAGAGTTGTCGAATACTGAAATTCGCTGTCAACTAAGCTAGTTCAAGCGACTTCCAAAGAGTCCCTTAGTAGGAAACTCGACCTATTCTTAATAACTAAGGATAACATGTTATTATGATTTACCGATTTCTTTTTTCCTCTGTTATCGTTAATACAAGTAGGTTCTTGCCTGGAGGTATTGGTGATCCACTGCTACTAGACACGGACGCCCATTAGGTGAAAGCTTCTTCTAATGCGTCCACAACCATTTGAACCAGTCTATATGTAAATACATTTTCGAAGATGCATTTAAACATAGGTTATACACAAACCCATCGTAATACGCTACTGAGAAGTGCGACTCTAAAATGAATGTCAGTGAAATTGTCTAAAACCAAAAAGTTCATGAAAACTGAGTCCGCTACAGTATGGACCACTAGCTCTATTATCCGTATAATTTTCTGTGGTGAACTTAAGTAGCCAATATCAGCTTGTATGTTCCTAAGACTTATTACTCTCTTGGATTTGAAAAATATCTTAGGCACGAAATTATGTCCTGACCGAACTGTTATCAGAAGATTGAGGCACCGTACTAATGCAGTTAATGATGACGATGGTGGAAAATATCCTAAGTATAACTCTCGATTTAATTTCGTTTATCATGATTTGTCCAACCGCTTAAGAGAATTTGGCGACTGTGTATATTATTCCTATCACGATTACCTTGTTGTTCCACCATATTTAGTATTACTCCAATTGTTGTTTGCATCTCCAGTGTGCTTGCAGTTACCAAGCTTATACAGTCTACAAATCCAATTTCTTACCGTACTTTGGTCTTATAATAACTGTTCGTCTTTGTTGTACTGAATTTTGTTTTATGATACTCTCCATATTGGACCGTTTTACCTTAGTTTTTACTTTGTGGACAGATAGCTTTCATTCCCAAGTGACGGATTACGAAGCATAGTAACGAATAATGTCAATTCGTTAGTAAACCTAGTCCATACTTATGAACTTGTGATGAGGGCGAACCTGATCTCTAACAACTTGTTTGTAGGTCACGTCGTATTTAGTTACTCGTTCTATCGAAAGTCTGTGGTTGCTGTTATGTTCTTGTGGACAACAGATATAGGATGTAGAAAGAAAACACATTTGATATGAAAAGCATGGGGTTATACGGAGCAAACATAAATGAACGGACAAGCCATTCCATGCCGATTTAATCTTCCGCGTTTAACACTTCTGACCATTTCTAGGTGTTATACGTCGAATGTAAATCTCCTCAGTTATTATCCTATAAGCTTTGAAGATCGTGTGGCTGGGAACCAATACCACTACTTCACTCTCCCATTAAAGTCAATGGCTTGTCGATATAATACAAAACTAGGTGGGATTGCTGAGCACCAAAGGTGTCCAAGAAGTTGATAACATTTCTGAGATAATCGCTAACCTGAAAGGCAAAACGAAAAGAAGGTGACAGTAAATAAATGAAAAACACATTGCGATAATTTCAAAATGTTCGGTTTATTTTTTAACACGTTCGAAATGAAAAGGAAACCGTAGATTATCTAGGAGTTAAGCAAAGTGGGATTAGTATGATGAAAAATGATTTAGTAGACAGATATTTCTGCAAGTCACATCAAAATTCATGACAATAAACGGTTGTTAATAGCTTAGTTTATAGGTACTTTATAGGTACTTTCTGCCTCGAATAATAATCAAACAGAAGATACTAATCAAGGTTGTAGAAATTTTGATATTAACAATACTTGTCGTTCACATTAGAAAGCCAATTCACGGTTTGACCGTAATTCTGTTCAGTCGTTTTCACCAGATAATGTAGTCACATCGGTGTGACTGAAAAGCTCATCAAAGTCCCTTCAACTTACAATTAATTTGTTATAACGCATAACTTAAAGCCACTTATATTGAGCGTCACTTCATACCATTATTTATTTGGTGTACGTGACTGTTGTTTATGGTATCTGTAGATTAACACAACTAAAGGCTTCAAGTCACCGTTTGGATTTTCAGAAATAAACCTTTGACGTTTACTATCTGATAAACATTCAGACACGAGATGGAGTGTAGAAGGTAAGTTTTGAAGAATTGTTCTGTATTCCTACGTCAAATCATTTCCAACTGATCTAATCAAAATTTTCAAAATTTAAACTTTAGGCCGTCATATTGGTAAGTTTTCAACGTTAAAAGCTGAATTATTAGGTGAATGGTCGATTAGTAGGCTACTTAGATCTTTGTTAGTTAGTTTTGTTTTAAAACCCAGACTAGTGCTCTTTGCACATTATTTAACCAACCTGAGTGATTTTTCCACTTTATTCTGACTCTGATACACTTTTAAGTGCTCTTGTTAGTTTGTAAATTTACACCTATACATTTCATTCTTCAATACGGAAAGTGTTATACTCGTGCTAACGGTAGCTTTTCTTCGGTTGCTTCACCAGTCTTTCGAATATACATGATATCTGCTTGTTAGTTAAAATCAAACGAAATCGAAAGGCAACATACACTCCTGCGTATTTTTAAAAATCCCCGACTTTCATCCGGCTGACAATACTTGGGCTTTGGGAACTATAAATGGATATATCCAAAAAATGTTATCATTAATGTTCTGCACAACACGCACAATTACTAAATTTTGAATCTTTATTCTGTCACTACAAATTTCGTTTTCAAATCTACGTCTGTGGTTCTTTTTAAGCATCTCCCAGGTGTTTGGTTTTCATCCATTCTTCTCACTGTAATGGCTTTGTTGTTCGTTTGGCAAACCTCTGTGATCCAACTTTCTCTTTAGTGCATTGACAGATGAAGATTCAGTTACCTGTTGAGGTAAAAAGTTCTGTTTGCTGATAGTTTGATGGAAAAGTTGATAGTCATCTGACAGGTCAATTCTTCTGGACTTGTGCACACATCCACTATCTTCGTAAATTCTTTATTTTGGGAGATAAAAAGGTAAGGGCATTTCAGATCCGAAATTCGCATTGGGCAATTTGAAAATTGGCACCATTGGCCCATCCATATGACAAGAGAAATAGTTTTAAGTCTAGCTAGTCTCTTGTCATACAGCAGCCTGGAGGTTCCATGAACCAACTTACTTTCAGTTTTTTGAACCTTTTCCAACAAAACTGACGTTTTTAGTTAATGAGTGGCTGCTTGTATGAAATACCCGAGTTTAGGACAAATGAAAACTGAATACAAACTTTGAATGTTCTTGTGTCAACATGGCCAAATGCTCTATATATTACCCAAGAAGGATCTAAAACCTTGGCTGCCACCACACAGCGTTGAGCAGTGGTTTTCAAATCTTGGCTCCCGAAGACCTCTATATCATTGTGTTTCTAAGAAGGGAATAAGAAAATTTTATATTAATTTATTTCTAAACTAATGTTTACTCAAGTCCTAAATATGTTTTGAAAGCTAAAGTCTTTTTCTGACCGTTTTCAGGATCCTTAGTTATCAACTTTCAGGCAACTACATTATATGCTATTTTCAGTTGGGTAGTATTGACATTAATACACCTGTTGTATTTAACACATTAAATGGGCCAAGTCACTGTAACTTATAACTGCTATTTTTAAGGAAACAAATTAGAATAATTTATATAAACAGTTGTTTCACTTCAGTTTCTAGTGTTGTTTTCTATTGAATATTTTAGTGAAATCTAAATCGACTACTGAGAAACTAAACGTTTGTATCGTACAACTCCATCAAAGAACATAAATTTCCTTCTTTGCAACGACAAACAAAGAGAAGGCTACATATGACTGACTTGTGGAATTATTTTTCGAAATAACTTTAAGGGTTGAGCTTGATAATGCCTTTTTTTGTTAACTTAGCTGCTTCTAAAATACCACCTACTCGGATGGAATCCTGTATACTGAGTACCACGCAAAATTTTTTATCTTTTCTGAAATAAAGTAAAAGACATTTTGCCGCTGTAATTGGCATGCCAATGTTGATCCACTAACTTACAAACAAATGATTTATGTTTATATTTATTTTTGTGATCTGTCTGTTCTAAAGTTCAAATATGATTATTATAGTAGAAAGGATTTTTAAAATTTTACTGGGACTCTATTAGAATAAGGGTGACGAATTACGTATGATGCTATGAAGCAGATTAGTGAGCCGTATGGACGCATTTAAATAATGCTTAGTGATTAAAATAAAATTTGTCACTTTTGCTATATTTTTTTTTAACTTGAAATCGTTTAAGAAGTTATCTATTTTAAAACATTTTAAAGGCTCCTCTACATGTATAAATAGATTTTATATTTATTTTAGTAGACTTTAACCATCATCAGCTTTTTTAGAACAGGTAAAATTTATTGACAATTTCATTGTATTTTGGTGATTACTGCATGCTTGATTTGTATTTGTTCGTTTAGTCCTTGATGTAATTTACAATTACAAACTAATTAGATATTTATGAGGTTATTAGAAAACTCATGCTCTGCTTAGAACTTGATATTTCGTCATTTGGTTATAAGGTCGTGAATTTCACTAATACATCGGATTGCAAGCAGTTTTCTGATGAAGCAGTCTGACTTGGCTAAATAGTCATGTGTTGGCAACTAAATTTACGTTTGTTCAAAAGTTTTAAGTGAATTCCGTCCATCAAGTTATGCAATTCGACAAATAAGTCAGGCGGAATGACATTGTTTTGAGAGGGAAAGTATTCATGAGAAAAAAGAAAGAAAATATGGAAGGGCATTTTTTGTGATTGAGATATTTGTTCAACTGACACAATATTAATCACTCAAGTACTTTGGTTGTTAACAATATTGGTTGGGTTATTGATTTTTATCCCAGTTAGTTATTTGATACTATATGTTTTCAAATAAACGTATTTAAGCCTCTCGATCCATGCCAAAATCATGGGTAATTACTCGTAAATGCCTCTGTCAGATTAACCAGGTTACTGCTTAGTATCGTTAGTTTTCACTTTATTCGAATTTTATGAGCTCGTATTTGAGTTTGTTTAAATCATTTATCACTTCTTAGCTGATATTTTCCAGAGTTTTGAGATAACTAGATTTTTTATTAATATTCAGTAAAGTCGATTTAAAATTCTTTGGGTGCTATCTGTTACCTTGTTGAAGGTTTGAGCGCCGAGCAACAGAATGGCTACCTGGTATGGAAGGTAAATATGTTGCCCGAGGACAATTTACGGGTGAATGTATCGCTGTTCTCACAAGCGGTGGAGATGCACAAGGAATGAATGCAGCTGTACGAGCTGTAGTTCGTATGGGAATATACTGTGGATGTCGAGTATTTTTCATCAGAGAAGGGTATCAAGGTCTTGTGGATGGTGGTCAAAACATTCAGGAGGCGTCGTGGGCAGACGTTTCTGGTATTCTCCAATTGGTAAGTGTATGCAATAATTTATTCCATTATAAATCGGCAATGTAATTGTACTCGTCTTCAGACATGTAATCATAGATCTGTTTTCATTCAGTATTTGTTTCCACTGTTTTTGAAAGGTGGAAACAAGGTAGCTGAAACAAATAAACTCATTAAAGCTACCTAACTGAGCTTTCCCATATTTCCTTCTTCCCCTTGATGAATGGTTTATTGATTCACTTATCCAAACGCTGAATGAAACATTAAAGAAGTTTTTAAGATAATCTGGGTTGTTCAAAATAGGATATTGCCTCCAAATTATTTGATGGATTGTTGTGCATTACATTTTAAGACTTAAAAAGCATGGTTGGTAGTTACATTATACATTTGTTTAGCAGTAGCAATCATAGTATGACAACACTGAATGATAAGCAAACTCATAATGAGTTCGTAAATCATTGATGAGATCTCGAGGTATGAGTCAGTCAGTCAGTCAGCTACAACGTGGGACCAGGCACATTTATGCATCGGTCCAAGTTGCCATACCTCGTTACCACAACAAGATGAACACCGGATTCATAGAAGTAATTAATTTAGTGGTGGTAGTAGTATATAAATTATAGGTTGTATATAAGGATATAGTACAGGAAGGAAGAGAGATATGAAGCAATTTTAGTCTCAAGATTTAAAGGAAGATAAAGAGTGTATACACCTACGCCATTGTGATCGATTCTGAGCCATGTCACCCAGAGTCTCCAACCATTGGTTACGATAGTCACGCGGACCCCAACCAGGTAGTCTGCATCTGCCAACATGGCTCAGACTAGAAGTTAGTGACTTCAAACACTGATGCCATGTTTTGGTTTGGCCGCCCCTAACTCTCTTACAACAATCCCCAGTACTAGTCATCATAGCGCGTCGTGGTAATCGGTGTTCAGGCATACGTAGCACATGACCCAACCATCTCAGTCGATGAAGATTCATGACCTCATCAACTGATTTACCATCGTTCCCTAATACCCTGTGTCTAACCTTACTATTACTTACCCGGTGATCCCAGCAGATGCGAGCAATATTTCTAAGGCATCTGTGGTCAAATACTAGTAACCTACGAGTATCTTCTACTCTTAATGGCCATGTTTCACAACCGTAAAGTAGAACAGAGCGAACTGATGCGCAGTATACTCGTCCTTTAATTGATAGACGGATATCTCGTCTTCGCCATAGGTCACGTAAGTTGGCAAAAGCCAAACGAGCTTTTCGAATCCGTGCTGAGATTTCGTCAGACACCAACCCATTAGGGCTGATCAGACTTCCAAGATAAGTGAAGTTGTCGACGCGTTCGACTACTTCACTTCCTATCCTTAGTTCGGGTGTTGACGCAGGCCAGTACTGGAGTAACAATTTACATTTGAATGAGGAGAATCGCATCCCAAACATCCTGGCATTATTACTGAGTTCCAACAGAAGACTCTGCATTTTGCCAGCGTCTTCACCAAACAGGACTATGTCATCTGCGTATTCTAAGTCGCTTAGTGGTCCCCCTGGTAGGAGATCAATTCCTGTAAATTCAGTCGAAGAGAGTGTTATTTCCAGCAACAGGTCTCTAATGAAGTTAAAGAAAATGGGGATAGTGGACAGCATTGACGGACACCACTTGAGGTTGTAAAATCATATGACAGTTCGCCATAAGCTCTCACTCGACTGGTAGTGTTCGAGTAAAGAGCCTTCACAAGGTTTATGTACTTCTCAGGTACACCTTTCAATGACAGACACTGCCACAGAACCTCTCGGTCTACAGAGTCAAATGCTGCTTTCAAGTCAAGAAAAACTATCATTGTCGGACGCCGATAAGCGTGTCTGTGCTCTAAAACTTGACGAATGGTGAATATGTGGTCGATACAGCCACGACCAGGTCTGAAGCCAGCCTGATTTTCTCGTGTTTGCAGTTCACGAGTCTTAGTTAGGCGCCCGATAATTATTGAGGCTAGTATTTTAGATGCTATGTTGGTCAGACTAATCCCTCTATGGTTATCGCAGGATGATTTTGACCCCTTTTTATATATTGGGACAATCAGTGATTGTGACCAGTCGGATGGGATTACATCCGTCTCCCAGATTTTAGCCAGAATATTAGTCAACCTAATCGCTAAAATCGGACCACCATATTTAAAGACCTCTGGAGCCAATCCATCTGAACCAGCTGCTCTTCCTCGTTTCAGATTACCTATAGCCTTTTGAACTTCAAGTAGGGTCGGGGGGCCTACTTCAATGTTCCATTCAGGTTTTCTAGGAATAGTGGGTAGTTATACAGTAGCTGAAGGCCAGCTAAACTGCTCCTTAAAGTGTTCCGCCCATCGTTCTAAACGTTTGGGTTGAGAGCAGATAGGGGTTCCGTCTTTTTCCGAGATTGTCTCACTTACACTTGACTTCTTAATTCCGGTTTCTTTTATTAGTCTGAATAGTTGCCTGGTGTTTCCTACAGCCGCTGCCTTTTCCATCTCTTTTGCTTTCGTTGCCCACCACTGCTCACGATCGTTCCTTAAACTTTTAGTTAACCTAGATCTAATTTGTTTACGCTCTTCGTCATATTCAGAGCCTGATGGGATAAGTTTACGCGAATCCATCAGTGAAAAAATCCATTGGTTTTTTGGGGCCCTATGGTTTAAATGACTAATAGATGTTACTGCTGTTTCCACAGCTGTTCGTATGTCTTTCCAAGCAGCATCTGTGTCAGTCTTGTTTACAGAACTGCCTAGATGTGAACTCAGTTGTTTCTGGAATTCGCATTTGGCTTTCTCGTCCTCCAGTTCAATCCTAATGGGTCTTCTTAGTGTACTTTTCCTGCGTCCATTGAGGCGCAGACAAATGCGTGCTCGTATTAAAGCGTGATCAGAGTCTAAACAAGTATTCCAATACGGGCGACAATCTTCTATCGAGCCTCTCCAACGATGACTGATGACAATATGGTCTATTTGAGTCCATCGTTAGTTTGGTGCAGGTGGTCGCCATGCTAGACGATGTCTCTCCTTATGTTTAAAATTAGTGCTTGCTAAAAATAAACGATTGTCTGAGCATAGTTGCAACAGACGATCACCATTATCGGTTCGTTGAGCCGGAATACTAAAACACCCACCTAAATGTCTTTCTGTTTGATTCAAGCTGCCTACCTGGGCATTAAAGTCACCCGCTACGACTACTATGTCTGAGCGCTTAGCTTTCTGAAGAAGCTCAGAGAGCTTTCTGTAAAAGTCATCTTTCACTTCATCATGCCTGCAGTCGGTGGGAGCGTAGGCAGAAACGACGAAAAGGCAACGACGTGTGTCCCTATCCTTCCGAGTTCTTACGGAGCCATTTAGCCGGATAGCACACAAGCGACTGTTAACGGGGATCCATTCTAATAGTGCCTGTTCTGCCCTTGTACTTAGTGCTATGCCTACATCTGCAAGTCCGCGAGAACTAGCCAACGGGTCGCCAGATACACGGAGGGTGTATTTCGTTGGCTGTCCATTTTGGCGAGGTGAGGTCAAGTGAATGACCACACTGGGATCCTGTATGTGTGTTTCGGAGACACAGCATGGTACGAAATTCTAGGGTTTTAGCTAAGGAGGTCTGTTGACCGATTTGACTTAAAGTACGTACGTTGAAGGCTCCAATGCGTAGTTTGGAGCGAGGTTTAAGTAGACCTGGGACAGTGTTTCGCGCACTAGAATCGTTGGCCATGGTGACACTTGAGGAGGAAACCGGAACAGGAAGTTTAGTGTTGAAAGTCAAGGTAGAAGGAATAGTAGGAATTGAAGGAGATTGATTATGAATACGGTGGTCTTGAGTGCTGTTAGAGGTATGAGGGCAGTTATCACTTCCCGGTTGCCCACACCGTGGAAGGGTTCTTCTGGGAGTACCTGAAAAGGAAATTGGGTTAGAAGTGGTCTTAATGACCTGAGAGCGTGACCGCAGTGCCCGAGGGACATCTGCTTGAGGTCGGTCACACACGACCTTTTTGTGGGTAGTTTTTGTGTTAGCTCCGTTCTTCAAAAAAAACCTTACCGCCGGAGACGGATATCCGTGGGATAAGGCGAGGTGTACATTTTTAGGGTCGATCTTTTCTAACCCCACCCTTCCTTGTGGGAAGGCAGCATCGCTGTCATGCTGGTTGTCTGAAGGAAACACCTTACTGCCGTCACACCTCTGTACAGTCGACAGTACGACTCCGCCTTCGGACCTTGGGTTTGCTGCTTTTAGTCTCACCGCTCTTCAACCGACCTGTCTGGCATGGTAGGACCTCGAGGAACGATTGTTCCAGCCAGCATAGCTCGATTGCTTCATCACGATAGGCAAGCCCGACCACCACATCAAGGTAGCAGCAACGGTCGAGGTATGAAGCTGGATGACGCAGGTTTGAATACGTTTAGAAGCATCTGCTAACTCAAGGTTACAAATACACCGTACTGATTGGTGCCAATTACAGGAGAATCAAGGTCGACCGTGTTCTTGCCGACTATTTTCAACTATCTTATACTACAATATGTTGATTAGACTTGTACTAAACTGAAACATTTCAAGTTTAACTCTGTGATTAGTGTAAGTTTGTCTTGAGAAAAAACGACTTTTAAGAAGTATTTGAAAGTTATGAAGGGTTATGTGGATGTTTTCATGTTTTTTTTTCGAACATTTATGATGTTTAAGCCCAGAATCGATCACAATGGCGCAGGTGTATACACTCTTTATCTTCCCTTAAACCTTGAGATAAATATTGCTTCATATCTATCTTTCTTCCTGTACTACATCCTTATATACAACCTTTCTTTTATATCTTACCACCACTAAATTAACTACTTCTATGAATTTGGTGTTCATCTTGTTGTGCTAACGCGGTATGGAGACTTGGACCGACGCATATGTGTGCCTGATCCTACGTTGTAGCTGACTGACTGGCTGGCTGGAAATAAAGTAAACACTTCAAGTTAATGCCTGATTTATTATATATATGCATATAATGTTGTGAATGATCCAGTAAAATCTTACATTATTCCAAAGTATCCCTAAGCCAGTCCAGTCAGTCAGCTACAACGTAGGACCAGGCACATATATGCATCGATACAAGTCGCCATACCTCTTTAGCACAACAAGATGAACACCAAATTCATAGAAGCAGTTAATTTAGTGGTGGTAATATACAAAAGAAAGGTTGAATAAAAGGATAAGCTGGTCTGGAAAATTATGAAACTCTTCATTTGTTTCATAAATACCACGAAATAATGTTGTCATTATTCGTCCTGAACGCATAAAGTAGAATTGATTAGACTAAATTGTCGAAACCTTACCTAACATTTTACTTGGTCACGCAAAATCATTCAAATAGACGACCATGTTTTTGTAGACTAGGGTTATTACAACGTACTCGTTTTGTTTTTTCTAATTGACATTCAATAACTCTTTAAATGCCTAGATTTCATGGTTTTTAGTGCGAAACTAGAACACACATGTTGACTTTTAATGTGGTGTTTCCATGTATACCTGGAATGGTTGCTTTTAAGATGGTCGAAAGATTAGATTTTTTTATTTACACTGTTATATGCCTTGTTTCAACGAAACCATTAAAATCAATTTCACTTTTTATATCTCTGAATTCGACCGAACGCCATTTCTCATCAAAAAAGCAAATTGTTCATATTTTGATTTTAATTCACTAGCTAACACACAATAATTGTTTTATCGTATAGTTTATAGGGAAAGAATCACTACAGAGAAAATTTTTATGATAGAAAGATCGCAGCTATACAACTGTTCAAAACCAGATAGCATCTGACAATTATTGACTTTAAACTAGATATAAAAAACAAACTTTCTTTAGTCCTCATAAACATAATTCAGATGATCTTCACATACCATCTAACCGCTTCACAGATTCACCTTTTCACTCGAAAGAGCAAACTGAATTATTCAGTGCAATGTTGCAAAAGAAGTCTTGAAAGCAAAACTACAAACATTTTGTTAATTTTCATCATTAGAATCTTATCAAAATCTATATATGACGGAATCAGTACTGCGGAAGTGTGAACTATTTTTATTTGGATTACAGTTCAGCTTGATATGAGTATTCTTCTCATGTAAACATGAAATGTACTGCATATTAAAAAAGATTTATAGCTGGACTATACACATAACAACACAACTGTATTGTAAGTGAAAGGAAGGAAAATCATGCAATGAAATGAAATATAATAACCCATTGTGACAATGAATGAAAATAAAGGGAATAAGAGAAGAAATTTTTCTTTTCGACAAAATTATTTATTTAGGCTGTACGTTCGTTTTTAGGGTTGTGTAGTAAATATGTGTCTATGGAAAGAGAGAAAAGATTAGCGATGCACCAATTCAAGCCAAAACTCTGCGTACAGAAACAATACATCCAACCTCTCATCCTTCCTTAGCCATAATTCCCTTATGTACAAACAATTATCGTTCATAATTCCGACCCGTAAATTATTTTCCTCCTTCTGTTCTTATCTAACCCCGGGATTATCACACAACCTCATCTGATATTTACAGTCTCGAATCACTTTATGATCCAATTTATATATTACGTTACATGATCTTTATAGCATACATTAGAAAAGATACAAAGTTGAACAGACTAACTTTTTTTCTACAACTTTACACTACAAATTAAGTTTGCTTACAAACTGTCTTACCTTACTTATAGATGTAAATAAACATGGTCAACATTTATTGCTAAGTGGGATAAACTGCAAAATATTTATCTAAATTGATGAAGAAGTCAAATCTGATATTGTAATTTCATCTTTATGTATTATCATTATGTTTAGGGAGGTACTAAGATTGGGTCAGCTCGATGTATGGATTTTCGTGAACGTTATGGACGTTTAAAAGCTGCTGAAAATCTAGTCAAAAATCAAATTACTAATTTAGTTGTTATTGGCGGTGACGGTTCTTTAACTGGTGCTAATCTATTTCGAGCTGAATGGTCAAGTCTATTGGAAGAACTTGTCACATCAAGTAAGTTTAATTATTATATGTATATATGCGAAATTCTTTTATGTTAAAATAAAGTTTACTTTTCTAGTAATAATTTTTAATGATTAGTGAAGTCATTTTTTGATTAAGGTTAAGGGATAGACAGTTTTGAATATAGGACAATTCCCTAAAGTAGTTAAAATTTTTCGTCTGACTTTACATTTTCAGTTTGTAGTTTTACATCGCTGATTGATCACAGCTAGAAAACTACTTAATGGAGGATTGATCGTAGTATAAGACTACACGGCAGTGCATACCCAAAACTTCTTCTTAAGTCGAACCCAGTATCTGCAGAGTTATCGGTATATCACTAAACCAATGAACCAGGACCCATTAATTCACATTGTCTAACTTCAATTGATTTATGATTTTACCCGACTATCGCTCACTGTCACCACTGATAACTGTCTCACGGCCCATATTACTGAACTTCATCGTCCTCATCTGTAAGCAGTTCCTTCGCAAATACTTAAACGCTTACAAATAGACTACATGTTCGATGCCACTAAATATGCCTGTGCTAATAATCCCTGTAATTTATTTACCACGTACAGATTTTATGCCTCTTTGTTTATGTGAGAGCTAGTAGCACTATACGATTCTTCAAGCCAAAGTAAGTGGATCCGGATCCAGACATTCAGTCTACTATCGGTTGTAAAACTCAAATATTCCAATAACTGAACCATCATTCCATTAATATTTTTCAGTAGCTAATTAACATTATGTCTTACATGTTATTACTCTTATTATTATTATTATTATTATTATTATTATTACAGATAAAATTAGTGCAGAAAGTGCCAAACAATTTCATCGTTTAAATATTGTCGGTTTAGTCGGTAGTATTGACAATGATTTTTGTGGTACAGATATGACAATTGGTGCAGACTCAGCATTGCATAGAATTATTGAAGCGACTGATGCAATCTCTACTACAGCTCACTCACATCAAAGATGTTTCATTTTAGAGGTGATGGGTAGACATTGTGGCTATCTAGCACTTGTCGCATCTATGGCGTGTGAAGCTGATTGGGTATTTATACCAGAAATGCCACCAGCTGATGATTGGCGTGAAAAATTATGTCATAAACTTCGAATGGTAAGTAATCATTCTTGTGTAGATTTGTTGAAGTGTTTCTTAAACGAAATTTATATTGAATTACACGATTTTGTGGAGATACGTTTAAATTATTGGGATCGTGTTTTGATGAGTTTGCGGATGCTCACCGCATACTGGGACAAAACGGCTGTCCAATGCTCTTTGGATTTCAGTGGTACCCCAAATAAGGTTACTTTATGATCTTATAGTTGTTTATAGGTTTGCCTTCTAATCGATTTATAAATTAGATCTATTTTAATATAATTATTCACAGACCTGTAATTAATCAGGTACACATAAATATGATTGTGCATCTTTGAAAGTGAACTCATCAAAAAAGATTCCTTCAGTGAAAAAATTATTTTCTAACTCAGTAGGTTTATGGATTGCAGATTGATTTGAGTGCTCAGATTTCAAACATTCTCTGGTGTTCTTTGCATCCTCTCAGTTCAAGATTTCAACACGTTCCCAGTTAATCGTTTATGCCCATAATTGTCTACTTACATTGATATTAGTGATGCTGAACAATTTTAAACTGACTTAACATACAAGAACTTATCAACTGAAGAAGCAGTGAAAAGAAGAAATTCATTGAAAGGTTGATTGAGCTATTCAGAACCATACAGAATCGAGCTTTGCATTTTGTACACAGGTTTAACACAGAAAGTATTCTGGCTTGAAATTGATCAGTCTATTTTGGAATATGGATATTCTGAGAGAATCGACTCAATAATTCCATTTTGTAGCAAGCATTTAATAAAGTTAGGTAGTGGCTGTCAGTAGTATCCAGAACACGCATTTTACTCTCCTCGTCACAATGTTGACGTTCACTAAAAACGATACTCCATTTAGCCTAATTAGCATTAATAGTCGTACAATTTAGGAGTTTTAGTCATATGTGGTCCGTTTTTGTTTGCTATTTTATTCCTATTTTTTTGTCTAAGTGTTTACTCAACTCGATAAAATATAGAACTATTGTTCCATTAAGTTTTAAGTACTTGATAGAATACGTGCTAAACCTAGATTTTATCCCAGTTGACACTAATTAACAAGGCATATTTTCAGTCTTGAAGGAACTCATTCTCCCTGTAAGATTAGGATTATTTTTATTTATTTATTTGAACACATAAATATTGGTGCAAAGGGGCATGGAATACATATGTGCCACACACGTCACTTGATTTGTGCTTGGGCTGTGATACTACTCGGGTGCTCAAACCAGAGCGGGTGGTTTTCATAGGGAGCTACTCCTCGATCCTTTGACCTAGGGGTCTAATCCACAAGGCATTAGACTAACGTTAAAAGATGCAGTCCCATGGTAGCCGGTTATCAACAGTAGGTTAATACACCATTTGTTCCTTTAGGATCCTGGAGCACGTGTGCACCACTGGTTAGGAATCAGAGTTTTCCAACTTCCCTAGATGGATCCTCCATATCCACAAACCTGGTTAAAGCTTTGAACTTTCACCTTTCGTGCTCTCAATTTCGTAAACAACACCCCTGCCACTAGAAAGCAGCAAGTAAGAATTTCCTGGTAGTGGCTGTATGCGCGTAGTTATGTGAGAGAATTTCGAGAGGTAGAGCTGACTCTGTTCACCCTCAGCTGTGCCGTGGCATTGGGGGATTAACCCATACTTTTCATCTTTACAGTCTGAGAAACTGCCATTGAGCTATTCAGGTCATTAATGATCTGTAGGGCTGAAATATTTGTTTGATCCTTTAATGATGGTCGAATTCTACCGATCAACTTACGAATTCCCCCCTTCACTAGCCTAAATGACTCAACGTCAGATGCCAAGTCGTGATTAGTGGACACTCAAAAGGAAATCTCAAAGCTGTTTCATCAACTTATAAAATTGTAACTAAATTTAAAGGTTACAACAATATTAAAATAAAACATAGTAGCATAAAACAGGTGATTTTTATCATCTGTTATAACATCTTTTAATGGAATTAGTATCATGGAAGAGTTCTGAACTTAAGTATGTACTTTTTTACGAATATTGATTATATACCTATACATTAAATAAATACTTTTGTTTTAGTACAATATAACATCAGTAAAAAAACAATATATGTTCATAAATTTGATTGTAATATTATCACATTGTAAGTTTGATCACCCCGGATGACTAAACAACTTGACAATAGTTGCTTTTACACTTCTGTACAATCTCTTTTCATAGTTTTCATATGTATTATTTTTGATTATCAGAATCGTGAACATGGACAACGTGTCAATATAATTATGGTTGCCGAAGGTGCTATCGATAGAGCATGTAAACCGATCACTTGTGAAATAGTGAAAAATTTAATAGTAACAGAACTTCAACTTGATACACGTATAACTGTTTTGGGTCATGTCCAACGTGGTGGTTCACCATCTGCATTTGATCGTATTTTAGGCAGTCGTATGGGAGCTGAAGCTGTTCTAGCCCTAATGGATGCTGATCGTGATCCTAATCTACCATCATGTGTTATCAGTTTGGATGGTAATCAAGCAGTTCGTGTACCACTTGTGAAGTGTGTCGAGAGAGTAAGTGGTTTATACTTGTGCAATGAAATACTCATATTTCAAGCATTCATTTATTACTATGAAAGGGAGTTAGCATCACTGAGTAAAGCCCTCTGATAAAACATTAAAGTTAAAAGGTCAGCTTGATAATAATAACATGATGACCAACGAAAATCTCTGAGAAGAATCCTCGGAGTCTTATTAGGAAGCCAGGACTGGGGAAGTTGAAACATGTTAAGCATTAAATATATATCACTCATTTCATTGAATAACGGTTGCATAAATAACGCTTATAAATTGTCATCAGAAATAAGAATCATTAGATTACGACTCTGCGCTCCATACATATCGTGTGCACTATGAGAATCAAAAATTTCAAGTTTAAACCCTATAAATGTTTTAAATTAGCACAGTTAAGAAGTTCCAAATCAAACTAAACGAGAGTATTTTTCCCATTGGCTTTCGATGGTTCTTCAGCTAATAGCAGTCTATAATGAAAATTAACTTCAAATTATTTGTTAATAAATTGAAATAAAACTCTAGTAATATTTAACACTTATCTTAGTTCAGTGTTTATACTATCCGTCAAGTAGACTTATATTCTGAAATAGTCCACTAAGTAAGAGCTATCTGTTTGGCAAACAGATTCGTTAACATTTTTAGTAGAGTTAGATTGTGGATAGCAGTGGAATCAAGGACGCTTTTTTCGTCCTGTTTGGAACTTGTCATTTGAATTTACTTGTATCTCATTGCTGATTTCTATTTAGAGACTCGGACTCAGTACATTTGTGTTAAAAACCTACAAGTTATCTACTTTATTCAGCAGCTCAGTTGGTAATGCGTTGGAGTTTGAAACGAAAGGTACTGATTTCGAGTCTCAATCGTTGACGCAACACGTATGCAATTACATCTAGCTAACGAGTCCCAAAGAGCACGGAACACACGTCTGAGATACCATCACTAGCCATAATCGAACTTTACTAAAGCTTGTTACCAAAGTCCCTATCAAGGCAGCCCACTAAGAATGAACATGTGCCAACAGAGACTGATCAAAACCAATACATAATGTTGGTACCATTCAAACTCTCTCTCTCTCTCTCTCTCTATATATATATATATATATATATATATATATATATATATATGCATTCTTTGAAATATTGTTTTTGTAATAGTATAGTTTGCATACATTCACCTCTACCACCAAATAGAGCATTGGAATAAAGGCCTTTACTAGAATTCGTTATATTGCATACTATATTGTAGTTGAATATATTCATGTCGATAAAGGTAGTTATGATATGTCCACTTACTTATCAGTTGGTATGCTTACAAAACCATTTTGATGTTTCAGAACACTTCAACTCTTTATTTAGAACAGAAATCGTCTCACTGTTCAGTATTTTATCTTACACATTGATTTTAGGTGGTGACCTAAATGAAATATATGTTTAAAATTTCTTTTTCGACATTTCCACTTACGTGACAGATTCAAAGTGTATTTTAGGCATGTGTATTTTTTGTGGCCAAATCTTGTAAAATATATTTTGTTGTTATCCTTAAGTGATTTTTATCATAAATTATCTTCAGTTGAAAACGCGATTGAAAACCACGAAACATAAACATTTGAATCGTCGAAGCATATATTTATATGGTACTGCCTGGCTTCAACCTTAAAAGGACTCTGACCTCAGACGTTCATTCTTGTAATTTCTCTCTTTGCTTCCGAATCTGTTCACTTGACATTTCTCTTTCTTTGTTCCTCTAAAGAAAAGTCACTTTGAATTATATAAATTTTTCAAACAATCACTTTATTTAGGTGTGATTAGATCATATTGTCTTTATTTTTTAGACACGTCAGGTTGCTGAAGCAATGAAAGCTTGTGATTTTGATCACGCCGTTGAACTACGTGGGACGTAAGTTTTATTTTATTCGCATGTTTAGGACTTTTAAAGATAAAACGTATTTAGCTCATTATTAATAAGTTATATTCAACTTACCTCATCATCTCCAACAAGAACTACTCTTTGTTGAACAACCACTCATAATGAGGAAGCATCAGAGGACTATATCACTGAAGCATGGAGCCCCTTAACAACGAATATTATGAGTACACTGAAGATCAAATCTAAAACTTTTAAGTTTCTTGATGAGAGCTTAACCGTTAGATCGTTTAGCTGTCATCCATTGGTTTACATTCCTTATTTCAATCAATGCGCAATATTGTAAAGTCACATTACAATTCTATTGATAAGTAGTTGTCTTACATCGTTCATAGTTGAGTTCCACTGGTCACAACTTCCCACTAGAATTCCTTAGATTATCCTCTGAAATTATTTATCAAGATCTTTGTGATTGTCAAAATTCATACAGACACGTGCTAATTAATAGTCCAATGATTGTTTAATAATTATTTTCTAAATATTTAGATAATTTGTAACGCAGACATTAATCCTATATATATGTCAGACGTTTTGGCATTTGTGTCAGTTATATCTTATTAGTTTCAACTGATATATTTATGATTCATCAAATCACTGCTGCACACACACATCTATAATCTACTTACCAGTTTTTGTTTTGACTAATCGAAAAATAACGTCAATCATAGACTAACTTATATAAACTATGCTATAGACTTAAAGAATTTAATTGTATATCAATATTATATTTTTCTCAGCCAAAATAATTATTATTAGTCAGACAATCTATCAGTGATTGGATCCTGTACTACAAATCGATTAAATTTGGACCTTGGTTTTGTTTGAAAAGACATTAGTTAGTGTTCAGATCATGGACCGATCAATGTTATACCACCCGTGAGAACCTGGAAGCATTGGACTGCCATCTCGTCGTAGTATAAAACTCTTCGATGGTGGTATCCACGATCCTGCACGTGAAACTCGAACAAAAGACCTTTGGTCCCATGCGCGAACGACTAACTCCTAGGACACTGAGTCGGCATTCAACGGTGTTCATGTTCAATTTCAATCGATCCATGACCTTGAGGCTGAACGTTCGGGTGCTGGATCGAAGGTCCTGGGTTCGAGTCTCGTGTAAGAGATCGTGGACGCGCACCACCGAGGGGTTCCATACTAGAACGAAATAGCCGCCCACTGCTTCCAGACTTTTATTGGTGATCTTACATTGATCGGTTCATGATTTCAATTACTGAAATAAAATTATTTAAATAAGGATTGACTCTCGCATTTAAGTGTCCTTTTGAATATCTTATTATCTTTAAACAACAAAAAAAGACTGAAATCATTTGTTCATATAACATTTGTTAAACAGATGATGTACAATTTCCTAAGATTATTCACAATACTTTGGATTCAATGAGATATACTTATTAACAAAACTCGAATGAATTATTTATTCATAAACCTATCCATCTTTCCATTCATACATTTGTATTCATAGTTACATAGTGTAACTAAACTAACGAATAGTAAATAAAGTAAATGACAGTCGATTGTATTGTTTTATAAAGAGGATTTAAGGACACACTGTTTATATATATAAATATAAATATAAATATATATATATATATATATATATATATATATAACAATGATATTTAAAAATATGAACATTCAAAATACACCAAGAACCTGTTCCTTTCAAGATGAACTCCCTAATATAAATCGGTATGCTCACAGTAAGATCTTTGGTGTTTGAAGGTGAACGTCAAATATCCTTAAACCTAGTTTTTTTTACTAGTTGAAACTGTATTATTAAGGCATATGTACAGTCTTGAGAGAACTATTACTTCACACAAGATTCGAAGTCATGCCACTTAGTGTACTGAAATTAAGTATTACAGATGTATAGAAGACAAAACTAAAAAAGCTGATAATTCATAATACTCTAGTCTTCTTCCATCTGAATGCTATATTTTGATGGGAAACCGCAAGTAAATCTAAATTTCCTCTTGTATCCAAGCTGATTTTTGTTTAATAGTTTCAACAACAATAATAGTTTAACCACACTTTTTAAATAAGTGGATTTAGTACCTGTTAACAGAAAACATTGTTTCGAGAATTGAGGTTATTTTAACAGAGGTTTTTTGAGATTATCGAGACTAACTTTGTTCAGACAACTATTTTAAACAGGGAAACACTATACAAGTATGGGGCTCCTCAATAGTGTTCATCCACGACTCCACCGGAAACCGAACTGTGAGATTTTGGCTACTCACTAATACTAAGGGTCGTAATGAGAGGTTATGAATAACAGACTTCAATCGTGTAAATTGTGAGACAATTATCCATCAAGAGCATTTTGGAAGTGGCTGTGCGAAATTATGAATTAAATCAAGTCGGAAACGTAAGTCTTTGAATGTCAACTCGGTAGTCAAAAGGTCAGGCATTCACTGTCAGCTTTTAAGATCTTGGTTTCGATTTCTGGTGACCTGGTGGATGTGCACTGTTCAGTAGCATTATACTAAGACGAAAGAGCTATTGGCTACTTCTTAGTTTTCATTGGGTACCTAAGTAAGCTCAGTCATTAGTACAAATTGTTGGATTATTTTGTGTTTGTTTTTTCTTTGTAAGGTATAATGATCATAAGGAAGGATTTACTATAAGAGATAATTATATAGATATATGCAAACGACAAATGTACAGCATATAAGTATATTATCATTTTACAGACATTGAGAATAATAAATTCCATTATTTATCGCACTTTAGAATACTAACTTCAATGGATTTTTAGGAAAATCTATTTCTTTTGATGTGGAATGGATTCGAACAATAACACTATCAATATAATATGTCGACGACTGATTTAGCACATAAACTGTACCATCCTATTTTAATAATTTTCAAATTAATTATTACAGAACGTTAGTCTTCAACCAAATCGTTTTTCAAACGTTGGTTTATTCTTTCGCTTGTTGTTGTTTACTTGTATCTTCCCATTGTTATTTTGGACTGCAATTGCTCATTCTCTTGTTGGCATTTGTGTATCCTATAAAGCTTGTGACTTCAGGCAATATCGAGGCGGTTCGCATAGGATGCAGATATGCCAGCAAGAGAGTGATCAATTGCAATCCAAAATAACAATGGGAAGAAACAAGTTAACAGCGACAAGTGAATATAACTTCACCCCATTGCACAAGAAGGTGGACTTCAGGACTCAGTAGCTAAGTGGATAGCGCGATGGCGTTTGAAGCGAACGGCATTGGGTTCGAGTCCCAGAGCAAACAACAACTCTGAGATGCAGGTATATCCATCTGACGAGTCCCTAATGGGACGAAACGCGCGTTCTGGATTCCACTGCTAACAACTACCCATCTTTGCTTTTTCTAACGTATGTTCATTCAAAATAAATAAACTAATTTACCGAACGAACAGAAAACCAAATTTCATATTTCTTTTGACTCTCCTAATTCTCAACTAAATTCAAATAATCGAGAATGCTGCCATTTTTCATCGTTGATATTAAAAACCATAACTCATAAGAGCCATTAACAAAACCACAATTATCAAATAATCATGGAAACCAGTAAGTTTATTATTGATATCATAGTTAAGAATTAGGTCTAATAGTCGACTGTTGTTTATTTAATCAGATTGGGCAACCTGTGAAACTCATTTCTTTCAATCAAGTATGACGCCTGACTGTGTTTTTGTCATATCCTGCAGTCATTCGAGTCCAATACTAATATATACGCTTCTTACGTGCGTGCCTTAACAAGCTTTTTGAGTGAAAGATATAAGTAGATAGGAAGCTTCTATTAATTAACAAAATCTTATAAATAGAAATACGCGCTTATCTTAAAGTTAAGCCACATTTTCAACCATTAGTGCATGTCCATTACCTCGGATAGTCAAGCTATATCTTGAGCAGTAGCATGCACTCGTCAGCACTTCTCACATAATTTAGCCCACATCTTATGGGTCACACATATCAATTTCCTCCTACAATAATTTGTACCTAAGCCTAATATTTTGTTCAATAAAAAAAATCTTATTATCCTGTCTATTAGACTGTCTTTGGTAAAAATTCAATGGAGAATTCAAGTTAAGAATTAGATCTTCTGACTAGTTATCACTCGGCTACATCATATCACAAATTATCATCTATTCATCTCAAAACAATGTCATTCATTACAAATTACTTAACGTTTCCTAATGTAACAATTGTGTTGTGCTGATTACATTATTTAATTGATCACTTATCACAGCTAAAAGTATTTTACATGCACTATCCAATCGAAAAATGTAAATAAACAAAAAGTAACGTTAGTTTACAACTGATTGATACATAAATAAATCATATTCTGGAAATAGTTACAGAATGTATATTTATTTACAGACATGACTAGGTCGATACAAAAAGCATTTTTACATATAACAGAAAGAGATATAAGGTTAAATTGTTTGAATATATATGGTTCATCAATGGTTCTCAGGAGACATTTTTCCTATAGTTTATAAATTAATATGAAGTAGAAGTTAATAACCAGTAATTCTAAGTGGAGAGATTGTGATAGCCTATCGTAGTATGAATAATACATCGAAGATTAATTCCAATTCCATAGCGGAGTAATTATCAAATACAATTAGAAATAAAGAATTAAAATATAGAGCGCTGAACAGTTACTTCAAACATTATTCTAATAGTTATGCTCTTGTACATTTCCCAGGTTGTTTTACAACTTACTGATATTAATAAATATTATTTAAATTAATGAGGGAGATCTGAAGTGTTAAAAAATCAGTGTAAACAGAAACGTGTCATTTTAAGCAGAATTGAATGATTGCTATCAGTGGAATCTATGATGCACTTTTCGTTCTATTCGCGATTACCCAGTTGAACGTCCCTGATTCTTAAAGCAAGTCCCAGAGTAAACGTTAACTCTGGGATGCAGGTACATTCAGCTGACGTAACGCGCATCCTAGATTCC